TCAGCAGGCAGTTAGGTAGCTTCTGTTCACTGCATATATACTGAGCAAGTCTCCAAGCAATACATAAATACTATATTGTTTGACCCCATAGATATGCTTTACTACAAAAAAAGCAGCTTTTCCTCAGTAAAAGTTGTATACACAGAACCAATGCTCAGTTCATCTAGCTATGACTGGTACCAAATCCATATCAAGAATCATGGGTTAAATATGTCAATACATGTAATACAGCTTTAACAGTAGAAAGGTATGAAAGTTAAATGCTGCAACAGTTTAGATACACTGCATCTGAATGATAAAATAAGAGAACAAATATTGACCTAATGACAGTCACCAAAATACAACATACAGGACCAACGTCAATAGTCAGTACTTGTTCTAAGCATTTTAGAGCTTCTTTTCCCTTCAGATGAGTTGCTCACAAAGGTGAACTTGGATATCATTAACTTTACCACAAAGCTGATCCTGAATTTTGTTAAACTGATGAAGATACATACATATTAAAGCTGCATGCCACCAAGTACTCACAGCATTTGCAAGTATGACAAGCCAATATTTACTACAGACAATTTTTCAAATTAAGTGTATCCTATGCAGTAGCAGTCTTAGTGGGCAGTATTTTTATTTATTAGAAAATGCAACATTACTCAACTGAAAATAGGAAGCTACATTTCCTTAGTGATGATTTAATTATCATAAAGGCTCAGAAAATTTATTTAAAATATCTTGGTAAAATTAAATCTGCTGACTGATAGCTGTCCTCAAGTTTCTATACCAGACCCCAGGAGTCAAGTTACAGGTGTTCTCAGCCACTGAGGACTGATCCTTCAGCCAGCATTAAGTTTTTAACTTAAGAGTGGGTTAGAAAAGCTGTGTGCAATGCAACATACCTGTAACAGATACAGTGAAGACCATTAAGTCAGCTGTCAGCCCTATTCTTTGCAGTTCTGACTTGTAAGATTCCAGCACACAAATTTAGTCCAGGACACTACCATTTAAGCTCACATTCAACCATTACAACCAGAGACCCACTTAAGACTCTTCTGTGACAAGATTCTGGATTGTAAGAACATGCATATACCAGCTGCCTAGAAATACATGGCTGCTAATAATGAAGTTGCCACAAAAAGTCATTAAACACATGCACGCTAGCTAGCTCCCAGCTATTTACAAGCCATACCTCTTTCCACAATCTGCAAACTGTAGCTTTCAACCTGACATACTTATAAGCGAGCTCAAGGGCAAGTCATCCAGTATGTGACCACCTGAAACAGCTAAAGTGAAAATGAGTACAAGCTACAAAGAGTTTAGCAATGATAAATGAAATCACATAGAGGTGACCTGATAAAACCTTTTATCAGGTAAGTAAGAACCAGAACAGGAGTCCATGAAGGACATGAACTTTGCAAGAGCCAACAGTTTTGGCCAACATTGACTTTTCTGGAAAGCCTCAACATTTCTTCATCCTGCAAACTGAAGTCCTTCACAAATGGAGTTATCCAGTACTTTATTGAATGCTGCAATGGATTATTGCCCAATAAGTTGTGCAGAAACCCGCAAGACAAGAAACTTAATGCACAAGAAGTTTAGAATTACTGTGCATAATATATGATTAAACTGTAATAATCTCAGGTATTGAATATGGCTTAGACCTGCAATGAAAGTCACTTAGATATCTTTAAGTGAATGACATTGTTACATTGAAGACTTAAAGTCATCTTCTTCCTCTGTTTAGAGGAAGAGGTAGACAGAAAATATTCACAAGTAATCCCATCTATTTCGCAAGAATTAGCCCTATAAGAATACAACAATATTCCTTATTACTAATCTTATATTTAGGAGAGTGCACAGGTATTTACAAATGTTGAGAAACAGGCTTTGTTTCCTGAACAGCCAAAGTTTGATAAATTGTGTCCTCCTTCCCACACTTATCTAGTCCTGTCAAATTCAAAACTGTGTTGTAGCAGCATTCATGAAATCAATAGTGCAACATTATTAGAAGCTTCTTTCCAAGCTGTGTCACCCTCTTCAAGTTTATTTTGGGTCAATAACACTTCCCATACATTTAGAGCTCTGGGGAAAAGCAGGAACAATAGATATGTTTAATGTAACAAGCAACCAATTTGTTGGTTTCTAATCTGCTGCTCATACTGGCCATTGTTACAGCTTTGGTAACTAGTTCACTCTACTGAACTTCACAGTTGCTCACTTTGACACGCGCCTACCACGTGCGAGTTGAACTGCACCACGATAATCGTGATGTCATCTCTGTACATTCGAGCCAGTTCTTCTGGAAGACTCAGCATCTTGGACAGTCGCTCGTGATCCACAGCGCCGAACTCGTTATTACCCACAGCATGGCGTATCAGATGAGTTGCTGCATTCTGGTCTTCAAACACTGAAGAAATCCTTGCTCTTCTCTCTGTTAAGAGACCATGCATCTGCCCCAGAGTTACCTTGTAGCCACCAACAGCTATTGGCTGCTGGTGGTGAACACCAGTGAGGTACTCCCCTACAATTCTAGCCACATCTTGCCTGTGCATAGTCTCCCACAGTCCATCCGTGGCCAAAACCAAGAACTTATCCTGTGGTCTTAATTTGTGATGTATGACTTCTGGCTCAGCTGTGAGGTATGGTGGAGTGTGATAGTTTGGAGGAATAAACTTTGTGTATTCATTGTCATTCAGCTGATCGGGGCCTGATTCTACTACTCTCTTCTGTAGTTCAATACTCCACTTAAACTTCACATCACCAAAAGCTCTAAAAGGCATCAAGAGGCCTAAGAGGCGGTCTTGTTTCACAAGACTTTTCTCTTCAGACTTTGGGTGCTCCATTTTTACACGTTCCACTTCATGTTCATTTTGTGCATTATGATCATAAGACAGATTAACTGCAGACCAAGATCCATCTTCTTCCTGAACCCCAAGCATTGCCCTACTGTCACCTGTGTTTGCAACATGCAAGTCAACACCATCTACGTGGGCCACACAGGCAGTTGCACCAGAAAAAGCTACTCTTAGTACTAGGTAGTTAAGAAAAGAATTTGGATCTCCTACTTGAGCTTCTAAAGAAATATCATTATCAAGCCTTTTAAAAGCATTAATTAAAGCTTCTTTCACATCAGTAGTCTCTCCACTATTGAGATCAATGAGCTCCTGCCAGTAAGTTCTCAGACTATTGAAGTAAAGCTTGGAAGCCTCTTTGCTAAAATAATCATTAGGGTGTTTGTGCCACTGTAATATGGGCAGCAGAGCTCTACCACTTTCCACAGCATTTTCTATTTCAAGTAAAGTCTCATGAGGTAACAGAGAGACAGCAATGTAGTAAAACAGTCTTTCGCTGACAGCTTGAGCACAAGCACAGCCTGCGTGGCCATCAAACACACCCAGGAGCATCCCTCTCGTCTGCAAACAAGTGGCAGCGCTTCTCCTGTCTTCTATTGGGGCATTGGCAGGGAGCTGGTTGCTATCAAAGCCAAGGACAGAACTTACATTTTTACCATCAAATTCCGGGACTTTAAAACTGTATTCATTCGCCTTCAGAATGCTGTTGACCTGTGGAGGAGTGAGGTAAAACCTCTGCGGGGTGGAAGCATAATCCCTCGTGTGGATAAACCGGTTGAAGTTCTCCTTGGGCCTACAGAGCGCTGCGAACTTCCTCTGAGGCGCACACCTGAAGTGCCCATGGGTGAAGTGAGCCGACACGCAGCACAGATGCTTGCGGTGGCAGTAGCACGCGGCGCTGCAGAGCCTGCCGATCTCGCAGCTACGGATCAACGGGAACAGATGGGCTGGAGCTGGCATGGCATCAGACAGCAGCGGGAGCCGGGAGCTTCGCACTGGGATCGCTGGAAGACAAAAGAACAGTTAGGGCAACTGCTAACAGATGTATCCCCAAAAAACAGTGTTAGAACATTTACAGCATCTAAATGAAGCTTACAGTAAGAAATACAGAGCTTTAACAGGTCTTGGAAAAGAAAAAACATTATAAGTTGCTTTTTTTTTTTTTTTTTTTTAAAAAAAAGGCAATATGCCTAAAACTATGTCATAACTGGTTCAGCTCTCATACCCACTCACAGAGGTGGGCAGTAAAAACATCATTCAGCTTCATATGGAAGTTACAGACCATAGTTAGTGGGTGCCATTCTACAACATTGCAGCAACCCATGGAATTCCTATGGAATTTTGCTTTCATGACAGTTCTCCTGTCCAGCAGGCAGAGCTAGATTGGCACACAAAGAAAGAAAAGTCAGTCCTATGAGGCTGAAGAGGAGAGAGCACCTGACTGCAAGATCCAAAAAGCAACCCTGAAGTGGTAAACAACTCAGTTCAAGATAATTTAGGTGAAAAAGGCAAGGACTATCTCACTGTTTGATATTCCTTAAAAAATATCATATGACAGTAGCAGGCTTTATTTCTTATCCCTCCCATTTATATGGGAGGCTTCATATCACACTTGCAGGACACCATGGTATACAGTCAGCTGTGGCTATTTTACACATAGCAATTTTTTAGCTTCTTAGATAAAAGGTACAATACAGTACCAATGTGTGCCTACACAGAGGTGGTATCAAACACCTCCTCTACAAAGTGGGCAGTGCATTTTTCTACTAAGAGATCACCTACCCCGTAAGTTTTAGGATTGTTAATTGCTAAACAAAAGTCAGTTGAAGGACTACATACAATTTATATTTCCTTCCACTAGCAGAGTAGAGCCAGGCAGAACAGTCTAATGCTAGAAGTCTTTAGTATAATTTTGCTACACCTTAAAACACTCTTTTGAAAATAAAGACTATTCTGACAATCTCCCTTCTCTTCATTTACATATGCACAATCACTACAACATTTTGATCTCCTGTTCAATAAATCACTCATGCTGCATCCTCAAAAAGCACTACCAAAGTAATCCTACCAATTGGCACAGTTTTGAATCCTTTTTGTTTGATGAGCATAGTTTTAGAGAGAATTCAATTCTTCCTCTCTACTTTTTAGGATCATATTACAGCACAACATGATTTCACTAAAACAGATTGTTACAACAAGTTATCTTATGATGCTCAGTGTAGCACTATTCTTAAACTAATCCCTATCAGCACACTTCTATCTCAGATTTAATTGTACTATTGAGAAACTGGTTTCTATTGTGTTGGACAAGGTGCCTGAACATTCACTCAACTGATTAACTCTTTTAGCCGATTATACCTATCATTACATTCTGAAGAGATTGAGTGCCTATAAAACAGGCTCTAAGCCCCAGTCTGAAGTGGCCACGCAACAGACAGAATTAAAGTGGCAAGTGCTTCAGCACAGCCCTTGTCAGGAGGCTTTCCAGACTTTCAGTTCATCACCTAGATAAACTGAGAGGTATCTGGAAATATATGAAGTTTTATCCTTTATTTCTTTAGGTTGAAAAAAGAAGTGATGTTATCTCCAAGCTCACTTGTTCTTCTTGGAGGAAAGGAAATTTGCTCTTCTTGCAAGCTTTGCCAGTGCTGAAGGCAACATAAAATTCCCACTGATTTTAGTGAATGCAATGAAATTGTGTTCACTAAAATTACATCTTCCCTTCCCCCAGAGAAGGGCTTGGCATCCTTGATTCACTTGTCTGACTCTCCCAAATCTCCTAGTAGCAGTCACGGAGACTGACCAGCCAGTTTTATGCTGTTCAGGTAACAGGAAGGGCTTCGGCTGGAGTCCTGCAGACCACAGCCAGACACTCAGCAGCAGTCTCTACTGTCTTGAGCTAACAGCTACATGTTACATTAGCCATTTGCTTCCCAGAAGCTGCATGTCCGCAGCTCAGGCTCATATACATGACAGAAGTGAATTGCAACTCCAAATAGAAATATTTGGAGACTTGTGTTTACAAAATCTTTAAGGGAGCTGTTTTGATGACAGTTATGCAAACCTCAAGTAACATTCAAAAGTAACTTTCTTGCTTACAGAACAAAAACCTGTTAAGATTTTATAGATGTGCCTAGTCTGCAACATCAACTGGATTTTACACTGCTTTCCCATTAGAATGCAGCTGGATCAAGTTCTTGACCATTAAGCACGTGCTCAGCACTGATCCATCCATACATCATTCCACAACAGCAGGCCTGTAGCTGTTGAGCCATGATAAGGCAAAATAAGTGTCCTGCTGTTAGTGGCTCTGGAAAGCTACCAGAGGTTATTTGTCAATTTTAAATCATTTTTTTTAATAACATTAAACCTCATAGGATGTAACCAAGCTTTCCTGGCCCTGCATCATCATCAGTTCACACACCAGGTGGAGAGAGGCATGAGTAATTTAAGATCCCACTTCGCTGTGAAAGAGGTGGTCAAGAAGGAAGAAGACAGAGCAGAAATTTCACAACCCAGTCGGGATTTGTCAGGCGCTTAGGAGCAGAGGGCCACAAGCAGAACCCAACAAACGAAGCGTTAAGGAGCCACCTCAGCGGCTCCGCGCGGCACGGGACGGGCCGGCGGGCA